CATACCAATACCCTTCTAAGACAGTTGAATGAACTTTAAGGCCAGGCAGTTCATTATGGCTGACCAAGAATTCAAGAATTTGGTCTGGAGAATTTCCACATTAATTCACCAGAACTGCGATTTTAAACACTCTGGAAAACCCAAACCTCATCCCTAGTTAGGAAGAGCTTGTGCACCCATACTTTTGTTTGCATCAAAACTGCTTTTCTGCCCAGAAGCTCAAGAAGTTCAAAGTAGTTTAGAGGTAGGTCAGAAGTTGATCGCAAGCAGGTGAAAAGCACCTAGAAGCATCTCAAATACAAGCTTAATGGACATAAAAGCATGCTGCATTTGCCTTATGGATACTTTTTACATATGGATTACTGTCTGATGTCATATCAAATCAACAGCACTTTGATAAGTATTGTAGCACTACACTGTGCAGTCTCACAAAGAGGTCCCAATCTACATTCTTAGAATTCATTGATCCAAATATGTAGATATACAGGAAAATTTAATTTACAAACTATATTCATCTTCCTCTTTCCTGCTTGATACAGTGATGTAGGGTTGACGTGTAATAAACCCCCCTGAAAAATATTGTATTAACATATTTAAATCATATTATCTAAGCACCTAAATAAATTCAATTAACCTTTATCTACAGTTATTTTACATTGCTTTAAAATATAATATGTGAATTAGTGCTTTATTTTAGAATAGGGGTTACCAATAAAAAAAATGAAGATGTATTATTAAAAGAAAATATGAAAAGTTGCAAAATTACAGATATTTATGTCAATATATCTTCCAAATAAGCTGAAAGAGGAAATACAGTGTGCTGTATACTTTACAGTTCATAATATTATGGGTATTTAACCACAAAAGGCTTACAGACTCAATCTTTGAATCCAAAGCAATAAACCATGTTTATTACTCTGCTGCTTTTGCTTTATAACGATATGTGATATATTATTTGTTTATAAAGTAAAAAAGTAGGAATCGGTCTTACTGTGTTAACCAGTGTCTTATATTGTTTTTTAACTTCAGCACTGAAACTAAAACTGTCACAAACAGCCATAGTTAAAAGCATACTCCACCTTTTTAACCATTTATTTATTTATTTAGGGTGTAACATGAAGCATGGTCACATTCTCCAGTCCCATCCTAAATGACTCCACTTACCAGAGTCCCAGGGTTCTTCTCCTTGCAGGATTCTGTATTCACTTGAATCTGGTATCATTCATTCGCAGATCTGGAAATGCAAAGGCTGCAAGTCCTTAGATCTCAATGGAGTACTGCGATGCACTTGTAGCCCATTGATTACTTCCCCCAGTTCCATCACCGAAGGTCCATACAGAGGGGGCTGCAATGCTTGGCAGGGTCAAATGCAAAAAAATAATGAATGCCCATTTCTTCATTAATGTGTGTACAGTTATCATTTTTAAAGGGTGGACTGTGCCATGAAATTGCAAATGGTTCCTTGTTAAAGGAACAGAAAATACATTTTGAACTGGAGAGGGATATTTGATTCAGTGGTACATAAAAACTGATCAGAAGTCTTCCTGAGCTTAGTAAATCAAAAACATAATTGCCATCTACAGTAACTTATACAGTACCACATGAACACCAGAGTAAAAAAGAGCTGTTAAAGAAATCCAATTGATATTTTACCATGGTAAAGGTCAGTCAAAATATAACATGAAAAAAAAAATATTTACCCAACATAAATTATTTGTCCACAAATGACCAGAATATTTTAGCTAAAAAATTTACGGTATAGTATGATGTATTTTTAACCCCTTCGTGACGGGAGACGTACACTGTACGTCCAGCCACAAAGGGACCAAATGACTTGTCACGTACACTGTAAACAAGTTTAGTAATAAGACTTTTATTATTATCCTTCTTGCAGTTTTTTTTAAGATTGTCCCTCAGATGTTATTCATGCATAAAATATCTGTATGTTAGTTATTTTAGTTTTTTCCACAATGAGCCCTCCCTGATTGTGTTTGCAGCTGTATACAAAGCATGTAAGAACAACTTGAGTATCCTGAAATATAAAGGAATAGATACAAAGTTAAGGCAGACATTTCAGTGTTTGGTGGAATCTGATACATTAAAGCACACGCATGTCGATAACCTACAGCTTACCAATGGGAACTCTTGTAGATTAAACCTCAGGGTTATTTGTATTGTTTGGATCAACTGCTCAAAGAACTCAACATGAACCTTAAATATAATTATTATAAGGTACTGGGTCTCTATGTGCTATTGTCCCATGATCCCAAGGAAGTAAACCTGAGATTGTTTGAGATGCCGTGTGGGTGTTAATGTTTAATCAGATGACTCCCAAAACAATGTGCTCCATACCCAACAAACAAGAAGATCTTTGCATTTCATTAGCAAACAAAGCAAAATAATGTGTAAAACTGTGTTATAGCACATACATGCACAGAAAAGATTTAGCAATGCAAATATATATACTGTAAATTGCATACAAAAACAAGATTAGCCACCTATCTTATTGGCAGTGGTTTGACAACATGCACTGATGTAACTAACAGGGTTATTCACAAAGGCTGAATAGTTTGGAGAAGGCAGAAGTGAACATCTAGGCCAAAATAGCTGATTAGTACAAATTCTCCAATTCAGTTCACTTTCCAGTTCAGCTATGTTGTCCTAGATTGTTCACTTCTCCTGCCTTTTCCAAACTCTTCACCATTTTGTGAATAAATGTTATGTAGTTTTGATTACTTCATTCCTATGCATTGTTAGTTGACTGTGTCTACATAGCTGTCCTCATAAACATATAAAGCAGGCAGCAAGAGATATTTTTATGAAGTACATATACCATATTTTTCTTTTGGTTTCTATTTTGGGTGAATACCAGAGGGTTGCATCAGTCATTGGATTAAAAAAAAAAAAAATCAGGGACTTTAGTTGCATTATCTGTGTATATGAATGCTTAGTTCCATCCAATTGCATTGTCATTACTTGGGGCTTTTGTCTGTGCTACTGGGTTCATTTATGTTCATTATGCATTTTAAATGTGTTAATTTCCTTTGCAGAGTACATGGCAGTAGGAATGAATGAGAACCCTTCAGTTGGCTTCCTAATAGCTCAAGGGCACAAGAGATAAATGACATATTATTTATTAACATGACAGCTACTTTAAACCACATATACCACCAAAACCTGAGCTTAAAGGAGAACTATGAGGTAAGTGGTTTCCACTCATCCTCATAGTTAGAGCTGACCTGTGACAAAGAAGCTGTCACAGGTAGGCTCTATAGATCGGGAAGTGAGTAGAAACATGCAGCTGATCCACTCACTTCCCAATCGTCTCCCTGCAGTGAGCGGTGACTGTCAGACACCGCTCCCCGCAGGGATTCCCCCCTCTCCTCTCTGATCCTCCAGCGCTGAGTGGAGGAATGAACAGGGGAGGGGATGGCTCAGTATATCGTCGGCAATAGCCCACTATATACTGAGCTTTGGGTCACGGAAGGAGGTTAGTATATGTTAGTATATGTTCTCCCGTGACCCTAAAGAGAACTATGAGGAAAAACATTTACCCCATAGTTTTCTATTAACTGTCAATGACAAACAATTCACATGTGCTAAAAAAATATTTTCCAGGTCAGAAAGTGATAAAGCAAGTCGCCGTACTGCTTTCCAGGTAAGACCTAGGGAAGGGTGAAAAGTATGTGTGTTTCTATTGAAATGCAAAAATCTTACATGCTGATGTTCATGTAGCAATTAAAGTGAACATGTTGCCCTTTAGAAAGACTATAAAATATTTGTCAATCTTAGAATCCATATTTCTATTCTACTCACATATACATCTAGAAGTATTGTGCATACTATTTAACCCACTAAGTGTACTATACTCTTTTGCATGTACGTCATTAAATAGACGTATTCTATTTACTATTGGAGTGCCGGTGTCCATATCATTCTACTATTTAACCCAGACACAGAAGACAGTGTAAAGAACCAAATGACTGCTTCTTTCAATTAAGTACCATGTGCAGTAGATTACCATTGGCACTCTGTTACTTGCACTGTTTTCCAATTAAGCCTGTCAAGAGGGATTGTGGTAAATGTGCTATCATTCCTAGTATTGCTTTATAAATTATTCAGGTCACAAGAAATTAGAGAAATGTAGCTATATAATATATAATAAAACATGTGGAAAATTAACTTTTCTAACTTTTCATTTTAGCATGAAAACAATACTGTTATCCTTTCTAAATTGAAGCTGATTTTTAATTCATAGTGTATAATAAGTCACTTGTCAATGCCTATTAGTCTCAGCAGCCATTACTCATTAATAGTGGCAGTGCCATTTGACAGCTGCTCGGAGGGGTGAATACAGATGGATCTTTTAAGCCAAGCTCTAAGTCAAAGAATCGCGTGGAGGTAGTCATGCTGTCATTCTTTGTGTAGGTTTCTTGCACTGGGTAACAATCCTTGTTTGTGTACACTCCAACCCAGGTTTCATCTGTAGGCAAAACACAGTAAACAAATGAGAAAATTGATACCTGCACACTTTCTAAAGGAAAAATTACACTGTTTTTTTACACTGGTGAATTCCAACAAGTATGTAACATTTTAAATAATACTGCAGTCTACATATTGGATATATTGGACGGTAAAATGATTTTCTGTGCCCATTCATTACTGGCTAGCGTATGTGTAAAACAGCTCATTGAAATGATAATGTTGTTTGTATGAAGGTGCCCTCCTGGCCAATATTCCCTGTAAAACTTTATAAGAGGAAATTATAATCTACTTAAAGTAGTATTAAACTCTTGAATTTTTTTTTCAATAATGGATCCAGATCAAACAAATATACATTCCCAAGCAAAGTAATTCTTAATTTTTTAAATCAGAACAAGATCACAAGGGACAGAATGGTCTCTAGCAGATTTCCATCTACTAGCATGGAGACTGGAGGAGGACAGAGTGAGGGAGGAGAAGGGGGGAGAAGGGGACTAACTTGCCTTGTTGTGTTTGTGGAGACACACACAGCTTACTAGAACACACAAGGGTGATTCCATAGGACCCTGCAAGGGAAAAGAGCCACCCTACAACAGGATATCCGCACCAGTGCTCAGGGGACCAGCTGATTCTGCAGGAAGCTAAAACATTTTAACATCAAGGAGCAGCATTCATTGTAAGTAGTTTTGTAATTGATCAGCATTTGAAATAGTTCAAAAAACATTTTGACTTTAAAATCACTTTAACTATTATGAAGTCATGTTGTGACTGTTTTTATTATTTCTGGAAGTTTAGTTTGTGTGAGAAATCAAAGCCATCAGACTTCACCATATGTGTATACAGTAAAAAGTTGTAAAAGTCATGTCTTAGTTCCTTTTCAAATGGAATTTGACCACACACAGGTAGATGTTTTAACAAAACTTATGGGTTGTGAAACATTTGTCCATCTTCTCTTTCATTGCTATTGTAACAAGGCCACAGCAACTTTGTCGTTGGCCAATGTGCAAACGTGGCATATGCATTGTGAAAAAAAAAGAATTCTCACAAATAGGTTTTCCAACATGATAGAAATGTAAACATGCTCTAAAAAGTACAAGGATTATCACCTTATAGTTAACCTATACATAACTCATTTGTATCCAGATTGTTGGAGGTGATGCTTGAATAGGCTACACTGCTTGTAACCAGTGAGTTGAGCTCCTAGGAACAGTTCTGCTGATGTTCCACTGAATCTGGTCCTCACAGAACACATTATTTGCAGCTAGAATTGAACTTGTAATGTAATATTTTGGTTTCCCATGCTCCCACCCTAACCAAATGTAATGTTACATTTATTGTGATTGACTTAATTACATTATGGATTTCAAATAAGGCAATGACTTGATGGTGATGCATGGCATTCCAATTAGTTCTCTCATGTCCTGATCTCTAGTGCAGACACTTCCACAGTGAAAGATAACTTTGTGCTAAAGTCAAAATATTTTAAATCGAAAGGGCTGAACAGATTTCTACTTTGACAGACCAAATCTACAGACTGGAGGCGTCCCACAAACGCTCTTTAGCACAATATCCCTACTGTGCACCATTAGGGCAGATGATTCCGTCGGGGGCCTTCAGATTCCCTCGGGGACTCACAAATTGGCAGCCTACGCAGATGATCTGATTCTCTTTATATCCCGTCCAACGTCCTCGATCCCTGCCATAAAAAAAAAATATTTTAAATCATATTTTGAGTGCAACCAGGCATAACAGCACCACTGGTTTCTGTTTGAAGGGAAATAAACTATTTTAATTACTGTACTTCTGGGCAAATTTCCTCGATCGGTCAGGCTGGAAAACTTTTTTTTGTAATCGTACGAAAATTGATGAATTAGTGGTGTTTTCTAACAACAACAAAAATCGCAGCCAGAACACTGCACACGCGCAAATGAAAATCCAGTCTGTCGTTCAACAAAATTCAGCGAGTTAGTTTTGCTAACGAACGATTATCGAAAACGACATTGGTCTGTGCTTGATGGGCTATTTAAGTTAGAATCGAAAGAGGGTTCTTGGCAGCAATGAACATTTCTGATAGAAAATCAATAGGTGTATGGCCAGCATAACAGTGGCCTTTCCCTCTAACGATCAGTCTGCTGAGAGTATCTGCTGAGCTCTATGTCTAGCCATTACATCTGGACAGAAAATAATCACCTAATGCCAATAAGATAAAGATCATCTGATGTCTAAGGGCATCTTTAGATATAAATTTAAATACTGATATTTGTTAGATGTATTTAGATACTAGAAGGTTAACAGATGACTCAGCACAGTGAATAAACTTGAGAGCTGCTAAAAGCCATAGCAGGTGCTTTTCCAAAGTGATATTTATTATTTTTATTGCCCAACTCTGTGCTTGAAATCACATGTACTAACGTTGCAAGAACTGGTCAATACATCAGACATTTTGCAGCTGTTTTTCTCTAATTTCTGCCAGTGTACACTCACCAGAGGGATCTCAGTCTTTGTACAGACAATTCAAGAAAAAAAAAGTATTGGATAAAAAAAGGACTTTGCGCAATATAAATTGAATTACCATCTCAGACCTATTCAGAGTAACATGTGAACCTATTCATAGCACTGTAAGGTTTGCAGACTTCCCATGGGAACCATACTGTCTACCTTTCAATATACAAGTTTCCACTGTGTCCAGCGTTAATGTTTAGCTATGCTCTAGGGATAACAAGCTCTGGAAGTAAATGAACAGGCATTGTTGACCTTAGTAACGTGCACATCACTATAGGTAACTAAGGAAGCTTCCTTTCCTATAAGGTCAGTGAAATTCCTTATGCACTTTCATCTCATCCTTTTAAAGGTAATATCTTTTTCAGTTTTCCTATAGGTAAAACAGGTATGTTCTAGTATTTTTCTATTGGTATTTGAAAAAATAGAGAGGTTTGTTGTAATGAGAAACTATAATGGTTCTGGGTTAACTTTATTTTAGCTTCTTATTCAAACTGTTGTTTTATATCTGTTTTTTAATTTATACTGTGTATATAT